AGCACAGATCTTCAAGTCTGGTTCTTCACATTTATAAGCAGAGAAAGAGGTTTAAAAGCTTTCTAATAAAGATTTGTTGTTTGTTTGGCCCACTCACTATACACACACGATGGACATTATCGGTTATCAGAGCAGTGGTAATTTCACTGGTCTTACAGGAAAAAGCATTTAGAAGCTATTACCGAAAGAGAAGTTGGAGGTTTAGTCAATCTTTCCTGAATTTTGATAATAACAATTTTAATAATAATTTTGATCATGAGACAGCAGCACCGATCCCATAGAGAACAAGAATTTAGAAAAAGCTTCTCTTAAAACATGGATAGCTTGTCTTGTCTGACAGCTGGAAGTCAAATCTAGAAGATACTGAAATACAGCAGTAAACTCAAATTAGCACTTGGACCACCTTGGAATATATCACATTTGCAGAACAGCACCACTGTGGCTTGTTGGTGCCAAGCAAGAATTTACCTTTTAAAATATATTGTAAAGTTTGTATTAATTTTCTATTTATACTATCTAAAAGAAAAAAGCGATGGGGAGCAAGTATAGATTATGCCAATACCCAAAAGCTATTGTGTATTTTCAGACAAAGATACATATAAAAATAGGTCTGTAATGCACCATTCTATCAAGGCAAAGAGGAGTATTCTGAAGTCAACACACACAACTGCTTTGAAACTGTTTAGAGCAAGGCTTCCTACTATATTTATTAATTTTGTTTTAATACAGTGTTTAACACAAGAGGATCCCAAATCAGAATCTGATTCTCTAATCCTTAGAGCAGTACAATCCAATGCAAATTCTGAACCGGTAGGAATAGTTCCTGCCTTAATCACTTCTAAAAAACATGGTTGCTAGTTATTTGCCCAGTATCCAGGAAGGAAATTTGGATGGTAAATATTTGGAAAACTTTGAGATCTTCGAGATCTTTTTCGTACACACACTTAAGTGCATCAGTATTATCAAGAAACTGAATTTCTAGTGGTGTTCACCTGTAAAAGGGAGTCTCACACACCCTGTAAAGAACTTCAGAATTGGATCTAGAGCTGCTTACAAGGCAATGTGAAGCATCACCCTCTTGTAGGGCAGAGCGTGCCTCACGGTCACACCCAAGTATCTAAAAATCAAGCCTGTTTTCTGTTCCTCAGAGTAGAAAATAAGGTACAGACCTTGGAAACTCAGTTCAAGGACCTGAAGTCAAGCTTGGACAACCTCACACACAAGTTTGAACAGCACGCCGAGAACCTGCAGAATCAGATGAACCAGGATGCAATGTGGACATCAGCACTAGAAGACAGGTGAGCAGCAAGGTGAGGATCAACACATGCAGTCCTGTCCCGCTTCCTAGTCTATCTTGGCATCAAAAGTTCTGAAATTAAAGTATTTGGAGCCACTATCGCTTTCTAAGTACCTCTGAAGAATAAGACTGCTAGGTGCTTCTGAGCACTCTGTAAATATAATTACTTTTCTCTGAAATGCTTGATTATTTAGAAAAAAATTATACAACCGTGATCTAAATATGAATTCCAGGTGCCAACTACAGGCTCCAGATTCTTGAAATAAGTCATCTAAACTACTGCAGAAAGTAGTCAAAATAATCAAAAAAACTTGTATTCGAAAGTGAATTCAAGTTGCAGGCACAGAGAGGCATTTGCTATCAACAAGTAGAATAAAACCAGTTAATTGCTAAACCAATAAAGATTCGAAACAAAGCAAGATAGAGCAAAATGAGAAAATAACCAAGCTAGCATTAGAGTCTATATTGTTTCTGAATGTGCTTGCTCTTTAGGAGGGCTTTTTGTTCATGTCACCCCACTCACTTCAATGTCTTTATCTAGCACACAGCTCTGCTACAGGCTTACCCTGTGCGGGCATCCTAAATCGCCCTGGCACCTATGAGGAACTGAGTAACTAAGCATGACAATTTGCATTATCTATTCTTTTCCCTTTTGGGCAGCTATCAACCAAATCAAGCTGCAAAAGATGAAAAAAAAATCAAGAATAACTGAGATGAACAGCTGGACAGGCAGGGAATGGAGAGCCTGCTCAAACTTGTACATGCAGTTGGGACTCTCCTTAACAACAGCCCTTGTCCAGCAGCCTTTTCCAAACGCAGCTGAACTGGCAGGCGA